GAGAAGGGGGGAGGAGGGGGGAACGAGGCAGGGGGAGAACCCGGGAAGGAAAACCAGTAGCATCAGCAGCAGCAGCCGCCGCCACAGCAGTAGCAGTAGCGGCAGTGGCAGCATTTAGCAATAGCTTTACCAGCGACAGCGACGGTAGCAGCCGCCCTCCTTCTCTCTCCCTCTCGCGGACAGCGGCAGCCACCGCACAGAGCTAGCCGGCTGTAGGCGCCGCGCGAGCAGCCCGCTCGCGAGGTAGCCCCGGCCCGAGCGAGCGGCGGTGCAGGCGAAGCGCGGAGCCCGGGAGCACTTGGACATCCACCGAGGCTCTGAGTTTCAGGGCCAGAGCCGACAGCTCTGACTCCATCTGGAGCTGCGGCGGCGGCGGCGCCTGAGGGAGAGCGAGGGAGAGAGGCGCGTCCACCTGGCGGGCCCGGCGCATGGAGCTGAGGCAGAGGCGGCGGCGGCGGCGGTAGCAGTAGCGGCAGCGGCAGCTTGAACAGCTGCGGCGACGGCGGCAGCGCAGCCTTGACTGTGGCCGCGCTAGCTCCAGCGCCTTGCTGCCTGAGCCCGCCAGCGACGTGCGCTTCGGGAGTCGGCCTGTGAGGTGAGTACGAGCGCTACCATCCAGCCCCCTGGCCTTCTCGCCGGCTCGCCGGCTGCCTCGGGGTGGCGGCGGCAGGGGGTGGAACGAATTGGGGGAAGCCGAGCGAGCTAAGGAGGAAGGGAGAACGGAAGGGAGGCTATCTGTGTGCGAATGGTGTGCGTGTGTGTGTCTGGACGAGGGAGCGGGGCCGTGAGGGCGAGAGATCCCAGCTCGCCCTGACAGGCACTGCAATCTAGGAAAGGCCTCTGTGCTTGCGCGGGGGGTGGGGGGGGGGAGGGGAAACGAGCGGGCCGGAGCCGCCGCGCTCACAGGCACACAGGCGGGCACCGGGAACCAGCAGAGTGCCGCCTCCTTTCAGGCTGGTGCCTGGGAGCGCCTGGCCAGGGAACCAGGGGCACCGGCACGGCACGCTTCGGTGTGAGCGGGAAAACCCACGCGGCTGCTGCCGGGAGGCCAAAGCCGCAAAGGTGCGAAGCCGCGTCGCCGGCGCCTCCCCCGCCCGCGGCTCCCGCGCGCGCGCCAGGCGGCCACGGCCACCACAGAGCGCCCGCGGGGCACGCTCCAGCCGGCCCGGGGCTTGCGAGCCGGGGTGAGTTGGGGGCCCGACTGAGCCTCGCCCAGCTCGTCACCTTTGCGGAAATTGACCCGCAGCCCCTTCCCGCTCTCTGGGCGGCGATGGAATTGACGCTTTCCTGGAGGCTGCTGGCGCTTCTCTCTGCCGCGCCCCACAGCAACACGTCGGCTCGGGTCTCGTACACCCCGTGGGGTGGGGAGGCGGGGAGGCCGGGCCGCGGGGCCCCGCTCTGGGAAAGTGTGGAAACCGCGCCGCTGAGTTGGCGCCGTGCAGCTGAGGAATCCAGCGGTTTCAGCATGAGTGCTTTTGCCTGTCTGATTCGTGAGGGACCGAATCACCCGCGCAAGGTTTTCTGTCTTTTTCGAAGTTAAAAAAAAAAAAAATTGGCATCCTCATTTTGACACCAGCGCTCTTTGATTTTTGTCGAGCTTCTGGTTGCATTTTGGAAGAAGTGGGTCTCTTGGCTCCCAGCATAGTGTTGAATTCTGTGCACAGCAGTGCACTTAGCTGTGTGGCCTTTCCCTAACGTTCTATTTTCTAGACTGTGATCTGAAAAGACATGATTTGTGTGCCGGGCTGGCAGGGCTGTTTTTCAGAAGCATCTAGAGCACTTGAACCCCAGGACTGGAGTACCTTCTCGGTTGTTTTAGGCGGAGAAGCAGTGTGCTGCTTGTTCCTGGAATATTTTGCTTGGTGAGAAAAGGTGCTCCAGTGGTCTTCTCTAAACTACTAGAGACCATTTGGAGTTGCTTTTGTGTGTGTGTGTGTGTGTGTGTGTATCTCCCTTACATCTTTTACACATGGCGTAACATAGGACCAAACGGTTTATTTACAGCAGTGACGTTCTCATGGCTGAGGAGAATTTACACTTATTGAAAATATATTTTTAGAAAGGAACAAAAAAGCCCTAAGTAACTGTCATTTTACATATTAACTGGGAAACCGGCTAATCAAATAAAACTGGCTGAGTGTCTGAAACTCTATCCCAGTGAAATATGTGGCTGTGAATATAATTAACCATCTGTCTAGTGAGCAATTTAAATTTGGGCTGGTACATTTTTATTACGGTGTCTAATTTCTGGAAGACTTGTACATTTTACCCAGCAGTAACAACAAAAACGTATTCACTTACTAGGTCAAAAATGTACTTGTGTGCTGGTGAGATTTCCTTTCCTCCCTATATCTTCCCTAGTCTCCACACTCCTTGACCTGGGAGGTCAAAACGAGCCTCTTGCTATTGCAAATGGCATATTTACAATAGAAGAACTCAAACCAACCCTGGCAGCTAGTGATTAGACATTTTTCTTTCTTGGAAGCACTTTCCAATATTTTACCTCCCACAGAACCTAGATAGATTGCATGCATTTGAGTTGAAAAGATATAATTTTTTGTGCACATGTGTTCAGATAGGGTAGGGTGATTCAACAAAATCTGTAAGACTTGAAATTTGACTCCATTTACTTTCTCTTATTTTACCTAATTCTCTAGCTTGCTTTCCCCTAACTGTCCCGAACGCCCACACACACACAGATAAGTACTCACACACACAAAAAATCACACCCTTTTGTCCTTTCAGCCAATTTTTTTAGGCTAGCAATTTTCAGATCTGTGATTTTAACAATATGGCAAGAAACTGCTGTTTTGGAAATAAGTGTAAAACCCTGTAACATAAAATGACATTGTACATATTTAAAAATTTTACCCTATGGTATGGTTTTAAACCCAAAAGTTATTAGTGGGCTAAGAAATGTAGGAATAGGGTTTGGATGGAGATGAGATGGCATGGGGAAGACCAGATTTCAGAGACCTCCACCAAATAACTATTGTTAACATAATTAAAATGAACTGTGCAGGTTGTTTGTGCAATAGGCCAGAGGAGTCGTTTAAAGGAAAATACTTATAAAACAAATATTTGCCTAAATAGCAGCTCTGATAAATGGGTAACAATTATGTAAGCACATGGCAGAATTTTACATATGTCAAGTCTGTTAAACAAATCAACCTGTTCAGTGAATAAATCTTCTATGCTTCAATGCTTAACACACACACACACACACACACACACACACAAACCTGTAACACCCTTTTGCCAAAGTCAAACAACTGCAGAGCACTGCTGCTTTCTGTTTTACTCAGACTCTGTCTCCCCTCTTTTTCCTTTTTTTCCACAATCTTCTGATTACCTATAAGCTACCCAGTGGGCAGAGAGAACTAAAGGTGTGGTAGCATTGCCTGTGTTTATGATGTGCAAGAAGAGCGATGAGAAAAGCGATAAATGCTGGATTTAAAACAGTCAAAGGTGTGCTTATGGATTCCTGATACAATCAGTGTGAAGGTCCTGGTCTCGCTTAAGTACTTGCTTAGGAGAGGGACTGGCCTAACCAAAGAAGCACTGATTGCAGTTTCTGTGTTCCTTAGTCCAGTTTGAGTGAATAATTACTTTTTTTCTTCAGTAGATCCTTTTAGTAAGGAGAGAAAAGGAGATTCTAATTGGCCTTTGCTTCTGTTACATTATACATGTATTTAAACTTATTTTCTTGGTGGCAATACATAGTTTAAAGATTCCTGTTCATAGTAAGCAAAAGGAGAGAAGGATCAAGTGGGTGACAGGGGGTGGTGGATGATTCACTAAGGAACAGGTCATTTGGCTTCCTTGTTTTTTCTGGCTTAGAAATTTCAGGTTTGGACATTTTAATCTTTTCTTTCTTTGACTTTTTCCTCCACTGAAAAGTTGCCCACCAGCTCCTTAATTGACAGTTTCTCCACAAGAGCACCTTTTCAAACCCAAGGTCACAGGGTTAGACACAAAGAACTTGTCAGGTTCTCCACACCACTTCTCCATAGCTGCTGGAAAACAAAACAAAGAGCACGGTATGAGGCTGCATCACTTGGGGCTAATTTTAAGTTTACACCTTTTCTCTTGTCCAGAAAATTTCTCTTTAACAGAGATGAACATGCCTCTCTTCTCAAACAGTACTGGCCTATAATACAGCAGTGAACGCATCACAACCTCGGGAAAATCTTTGGGTGTGGTCAGCTGAAAAAGTGGAGGGTTAGGGGAAGCTGCTTTTTAGTGATGGTAGTGCCTTTTCTGGGCCAGCTACAAGTAGAGGTGACGATCTTTGTTTCTTCCCTCTGGTCTCTCACTACCCACAGTGATTTGCAGGCCTCTGCCAGGGAAGGTGCTCTTTTTGATCTTTTTCTGTAGGTAAGTGCTGTGGTCTGATGTCTTTCTCCTTCCTTGTTTTTCTCGTGGAAAACAAGGACTAACTACTATGCACACAATTATTGTTTCTCCAAAGAGCTCTTCAAAAAGGTCATTTTACCCACCCCAGTGGGACATTTTTGATACAATTAACTACTGTTTTCTCAAGCACTTCCAAATCCTATTTTAAAAATTCAGCTTCTCTCCTTTAGTAACCCATTTCAGTTGTTACACAACTAAGCAAGAATCTGCTCCCAAGGGGATTTAGAGGTTTGATACCAGGATTATACCTTGGCCCTGACTGCTAGAGCAATGCCAAGCCATCCTCCATCAAGAACAGGCAAAGGGATTAATTTCATTTGGGACAAGTTAAAGCATTTCCTCTATGGAGGACTGTAAGTTGGATGGCCATATACATGTCATGTTTTACGCTTATTTTGCTGGCATATTTATTTCACTCTCAAAACGTTCCAGTTGGGAAAAAAATTCTATGGCCACCTTAATTGTAAGCCACATTTGAAAGAAGCTACTGTTCTTTTCTTTTTTTAAAGATTTATTTATTTTATTTGAAAGTCAGAGTTACACAGAGAGAGAATGAGAGGCAGGAGAGAGAGAGGTCTTCCATCCTCTGGTTTACTCCCCAGTTGGCTGCAATGGCCAGAGCTGCACCAATCCAAAGTCAGGAGCTAGGAGCTTCCTCTGGGTCTCCCACGTGGGTGCAGGGCCCCGAGGACCTGGGCCATCCTCTACTGCTTTCTCAGGCCATCAGCAGGGAGCTGGTTGGAAGTGGAGCAGCTGGGACTCGAACTGGTGCCCATATGGGATGCCAGCCAGCACTGCAGGTGGCAGCTTGACCTGCTATGCCACAGTGCTGGCCCAAAAAACACTGTTCTTGATTTGGGAGAATGATATTTTTGCCAAACCTGGAGACATAATGAGCTTTAGAGATGTAACAGTATCTTAACCCAGCTCAGCCTTTCTAAGAGCTCTTTCTAGAGAAGAGTCCCAGAAATTATTCAGGCTCCATACTTTCCAGAATTGTGTTGTTAGGTCCAGCGACACCCCTCCAGAAGCATGAATATGTTTGCACATACACAGGCACGCAAAGAGGTGCTAACTGTGTGCTGGAGAGTGCTTATTGTTACTTTCATGGAATATCTTGACCATGGTAGTTGTGAAAAGACATTAGTATCAGGGAAGTGTGAATTCTTCTTTTCAGAA